CACTTATTTTTGTGAACCTTTTTCTGTTTAGTAACCAAACAATGGATGTCAGAAAGGGTAAAAAGGAGCGGAAACAAGGCAAGAAAGGGGTATCTGCGAAATCTGCAGCATCTCCTGGATCTGATGGAGGGCCACCTGACGTGGGAGCACTTTGCATATGAGCTTAGTATCATGTGAGTTCTTTTGCCACAATTACCATCCTCAATGACTTTCGTGCCTGGTTGCATATATTTCTTCATTCTAATCTTTCAATGAGAATTTATTCTCATTTTACTCGAGGAAGAAACAGCACATTTGGCAGAAAAATTTAATCCATTTTATAAAAGTACAACCTGCTGATTATTTATTTTCTTTGCTTTGTAGATCTAATACATGCTATAGGTAGGATCTTATCCTTACATGCTCTTCCAATTTGCTTCCAACTGTCCGACAACGACATATGCTGGCAGTCTCTGGAAAAAGAATACGAGTTCTCAATGCCCGCTTTGCAATGACCGTTCTTTATTCCCGGGATTCCTTATCCATCCAATTGTTAAGCAGGCAGGATTGACAGTTTCTGCTTATCCACTCCCAACTCTATTTTTTGGGTAAAGTATAGTAATGGTCACTGAATTTTTCTAAAGTTTTCATTTAGGTCCCTTAACTTTTAAAACTTACAATACAGTCTCCAACATTTAGTCTGTTTGCAATATGATCTCCCAAAAGTTACGTCAGGGATCATATTGCAAACAGATTAAATATTGAGGGATCATATTACAAACGGACTAAATGTTGGGGGATTGTATTGCAAGTTTTAAAAGTTGGTGACCTAAATGAAAGTTTTAAAAAAGTTCAGTGACCATTACTTTACTTTACCCTAAATTTTAATTTGATACCCATAAATATTTTAAAATTCAATTAATTTGAAATAAAAAAAACCAAAAACAATTAAATTCAATTAACATGATACCCATAAATATTTTAAAATTATTTTAAAATAATCTAAAATAATTAAATTTTAATATGATACCCATGAATATGCCCCATTCCCATTCGTATTCGTTAGGTTAGTTTACTAGCCTATTTCTTCGTATGTATTACACACGCACGCATATATGCATTTGTTTTTGTCGAAAGAAAAGCACGTGTTCTATTTATAAATAATCTATGTTGTAGGTAGAGTTGCATTAGATGCCCCTTTACCTCAGAAAAGTCACACAAGTGGTAAGATCTCGAGCATCAAATCGATTGATGTATCTAATAGAAAGTGTATTAAACCACTAAATGACGATTGAGAGAAATTTTACAGCGTGACATTTTTAATATATAGTTAAAAAAAAGTATTATTGGTTTTGTTATTATTTAAATAATAAATCGTTAAAAAAATTATCTGAAACATTATTATTTTTATCTAAAACATCAATGTTTTTTAAAATTTCTGATGAAGTGTCCAACAATAACAAAATCGGTAGAAAAAATAACTAAAGTGTCTAATAATAATAAAATCGGTAGAAATAATAATGTTTACGGTAATTTTTTACCAGTTTTATTATTTAAATATTAAAAAAACTAGTAGCATCTATTTTTAATCGTATATTAAAGGTGTCACACGTGATTATTTCCGATGATAGAAACTATGATTAAAGAAAGAAAATTTGTCAAAATGAGGATAACCCTTTCCAAGGTAAATATAAAGAGTAATAAAATAAAGGTCAAAGTTTAATTGTTGAATTATTAATCTAATAAAAAAAAACTTAGGTGATTAATGTCTAATTTCTTTAATTTTTGAAATTGATAGAAACGTAACAAGGGCTTAAACTGGAAAATGGTAGGTTGGGACTTAATTGTTTCAAAACTAAAAGAACCTAAATAGAAATTTGACCAAGAAAATCACCTAACTGCCTTTGTTTCTATTTTCTTTTCTATAGATTAAGCAGCCATCGAGGCATATGCAAATGATTAAGTCTAATCTAACTTCTTTGATCGAATAAAATTTAGGGTAAAGTATAGTAATGGTCACTGAGTTTTTCTAAATCTTTCATTTAGATCTCCCAACTTTTAAAACTTGTAATATTATCTCTTAACATTTAGTTTGTTTGCAATATGGTCCCTCAACATTTAGTCCATTTGCAATATGGTCCCCCAATAGTTACATCGGGGACCATATTGCAAACGGACTAAATGTTGGGGGACTGTATTGCAAGTTTTAAAAGTTGGGGGACCTAAATGAAAGATTTAAAAAAATTCAGTGACCATTACTATACTTTACCCTTTTTTAGAGTCCCTGTAAATAGGTATCTTTCGCAAAACATGAGATTATACAAACATAGAATGATGATGATGAAGAAAAGGGAAGTAGTAGAAATGGTATAGATTCTTGTTTTAAAGATGTTACTCCACATTGTTTGACATTCGGCCTAACTTTTAATTGTACGAGGCAGAATGTCTGATAGCATTTGCTTCTTTTAGAAGCATAGAATATATTTTAGGGTTCAGAACTGTGTTATTCCCTTGTACAAGTGGCAACTTGCTTTAAAGTTTGGGCCTTTCATGGCTTCAAGGAAACTGGTTCATGGAGCTTGCTTCCAAGACAATGCTAATTCAAAGTCAAAATGCTCAAATTTGGCTTTTTGATAAATAAATACTATAATCACATAGTTGGTAAGGACAAACTTCCGTTTGATCACAAAGATTCTTCCTTTTAAGGAAAACCTTCATTCCAATTTCGTAACAAACAAATGATGCTTTTAGGTAATAACGATACAATCTCTAGATTATTTATAATCATTTAAAAATTATATCAAAAATAATTTCGTAAATTACATATTGTGAATGGTTTCGGTGATAAAAGAAAATATTGTTTTATTTAAGTTATGTATGTAAAATATATATTGTACGTAACTGAAAAAATTCTAAACAATAATAATTACAGGGTTAAACTATACATGTGACCATTTAACTATGGTCAAAAATCATTTAATATATATTTTAACGGTGGAGTTGATGCGGCAGTTAAATATATATTTTATTCTTATCTTCACTTAAAAATATAAAAAAATATATTTAATAAGTTAAAACAAAAATAAAAGATATATTTAAGATATAAAAAATATTATGAATTTTGAGTAAATCATTTACATACTGTAATACAAGATATATACTGTAATACAAGATATATACATTTGTTGTCCATTATATACCAAACAACCGCCTTGGCTTAGTGGTCTAGTTGTTGCTATTTCACCCAATGGTTTTGGCTTAGAGGATTTAAATTTATTGAATTTAATTAAAATTAGGATCAAATTGACATCTTGTAAAAGTAACAAGGACCAAATATACAATCATACCAAAAATTTAATTGATGAGTAATTCTCTCGGTTAAATTTTAACTGTCACGTCACTTAAAAGTTAATGGACAATGACTTAATTGAACTATTTAAATAGTTAGAAGGCCTATTTGATCAAATTGAAACATTGATAGTCTAAATGATTTCTAACCATAGTTGAGTGATCACCCGTGTAATTTATCCATTTTTAACCACATCAATTTCAAATCATGACAAACCGACTAATGTGATTAGATTAGGATTCCCAAAGTTTCTATTGTGCTTGGTAGGGGTTTCAAATACTGAGACCCATATTTTCGGGTACTCAAAGTACCGAATATCACCATAACTAAATGAGAGATTAAATATGAATGTGTAATATGAAAATTATATAGAATATAATTATAACATGTTTATTTTAAGTTAGGACTCAAACTTTAATAAGATTAGATTTGATTGAAATCAAAGTATATATAGACTATTTAAAAAAAAGTATTCCTAAATTAAAATAATAATAAAATTATCTATACATATGAACACTTTAAAATTACAAACTCTCATTAAAATTGAATAATTTTAAATAACGTTAAATTAATATAATTACTATATTCATGAAAAATTTTGAATGATAGTCTTTTAACAAACATGAAATTATAGAACTTTTACCAAATACTCTATGGATACCGACTAATTTAAATATCTTTTAACAACAACCAAACTTTATATCTATGTACTACGACTTTGAATGTATTCTTATCATTATATTATGAACGCGTAAATTAAGTTATATTATTATATTTTATTAATTATACATTTGATTTTTATTTTTAAATTTAATCATTTTTAATATGAAAATTTAATTATATTATTTATATATTGTTTAAATTTAAACTTATCTTTTAGTATAATATCAGTTTCTGATCTATTTATATTTAAATTGAAAATTTTAATTTTAAAGAATTATGGAGGCAAGTACAACCCTCTCAACCTAATTTACTCTATTCACAAACACCAGGATTTAAAATTTAACCTTATTAGTGAGATCTATATCCTGTAAAAAATTTAATTTTTTTTAAGATTACATATTTAACCAAATTAAATGTGACCGAAGACAAATACAAATTGTAATTTAAATATTTTATTAGGGGCTTAATTTTTTGGTCACCCTAACGTCACAAAAATCTCTCAAAAATCTCATAAATGGGACTGTATGGTGCATCTTTTATTAATGTTATTGAAAAGAAAAACAAAAGAAATATAGATTGGCTGATCTTTTGCCAACATCAACAGCACTACAAAACTCTTGTTGAGCACAGAATTTCAGATTTTCTTTTTGTTGATGATGATTGGAATTCAAGTTGGGTTGTGATTTAATGACAGCGGCTCCCTCAAACGACTAACCTTGAAGATGCTGATAGGTGAATTGGACTTCTGCTCATTTTTGGTTTTGACACGAAAGCTCCTCTGTTTTTTTACATAGGAAAGAATTTAGATTCAAAGCAATGCTTATTCATCCAGACCCCATATCGTCTGGAACCCAACTCAACTGCTTGCTTATTGATTTATCAAATTTTCAGATTACTGACAACATATTCACTTTCGGTTGTTGCTTTTGAGGGTAACTGCTGGTCTGGTAAAAATACATACATCATTTTTATTACCAGAATTGGATCCCACCAATTTGCCTAAATAAAAAAACCAAAAAGATTTTTCATTAAAAAACTAATAATTAGTACAAAAGGCTTCATCATTTTTGCCCATACTTACATCCACTACAGTGTGTACGATATCGAATGTCCCGGTGCATTCTAGCAACCACCCCCTTTATCTCAGGGACAGACCAAAAATTACAACTTTGTAAACATAAATGTTGGAGGGGCCATGATTCAATCAACTTCCCTTTTTCCCCCCTTCCTGTTCCCTTTCCCCTTCAATATCCGAATCTTCCGGGTCAGGCATCTTGTTCAAATCAACCCGATGTAAAAACCCGCCCGCACTTGGCTTCAACTCCTCGTCATAGCCATGATTATAATTGTGGTGGTGGTGGTGAGCTGCCCCAAGAGCATCAACTCTAGCACCAACTTCGACAGCCTTTTTCCTTAAAGAAGCAGCCGATAAATCGCCATCGCCGCCACCGGATTTTTCTCCAGCCAAAAGGTCGGGAAAATTCAACCTAGCCGAGGGTCCACGCAGGTAAAAAACCGCCGTGTCGTAAGCTCGAGCCGCCGCGACGGGTGTCGAATAAGACCCCAACCAAATCCTGGAACGCTTGTTGGGCTCCCTAATCTCAGCCACCCATTTCCCCCACTTCCTCATCCTTATACCTTTGTACGGCCTCTCCGCCGTAGACTTCCTCGAAGTATCCCTTGAAGCAACAACGGCTGTTCCATTCTCCATAGCTTCCAAAGTGTTGGAGAAATCCCAATTTTCTCAGCTTTGCGTCTGTTTTGGTTTTTACGAGGGGACTGGAACTATGAAGGGGAAGGAGAAAGATTGAATCTTTTTTTGAGTGGGCTCTTGGTTGTGACATGTGTTTTAAGGTTACACGTTGGAATGAAATGTTTTTCGACACAACAAAATTAAACGATGGGAAGAAATACAGAGGGAAATAGAAAAGGAAGAAAAACTCTAAAAACACAAAATCCAAATTCACCGACACAGATAGATGTATGTGAAGTTATAAAGGGCATTGGTTGTATATTTACAATTTTATTCTCTTCCCAATGTTATTATTATTGCGAGAAAGAGGAAATCGGGGCGTGGACTTGGCATATTGGGGCTTCTCCGTGCCTATGTTTTCTTAAATCAATTATTCTAATAAAATACTTTCATAATTGGTTTTTTATAATTCTTTTAACAAGAAAAAAAGTTCAAACTAACTTCAAATATTTATTAAAACATTTTTATCTTATAAATATTTTAGTTCTCGATATTTTTTTAAATAAAAATCTTATATAAATGAAAATCATTAGTTAACACATAATTAGTATTCTAAAATAAAAATTGTTATCTTAAAATAAATTATTGATGATCAAATTATTCTAAAAAAATGAATAAGAGTCCAAATAACTCAAGTATTAAAGAAAAATGAATAAGAGCCAAAATGACTCAAGTATTAAAGGTATTTACAACCTAAAATACAACGTTAGTGTCCAATTTCTTAAAATATCAAAATAGTCATTTTAATAAATATTACAAATTAATTTTAACATTATATTAAAAATTCAATTTTAAAAATTACGTATTAATATTATTAAAAAACTTGTCTTTTCATATTAATTATACTTTTACAATATCATTTAAATTTGCTAAATATTAGTTAGTATCTCTAGTATATACATATAAATTTTAAATAATAAAAATATATAATAAAATTAATATACTAAAATTATAACAATCCAAACAAATTAATCATATCAACTAATTATAAATAAAATAAATTTTGAATATACAGAATAAAAACTAAAAATATTAAAAAGATAATGAAGAAAATAAGATAAAAACATAAATAACAGTCATGTAACTAAAAATTAATGATGTTATTTTTTTTTTTTAAAATGTAAAGAAAATAAAACTAAAAGGAAAAAGTGAGGAAAAATCTATAATCCTATTTAATTACATTTGCTTTACACACACATTAAAATAGTGAGATAGAGCAGGTGTCATTAGGTGTTAGTTTACCTAATATTTCACACTGCAAAAAAATGGTTAATCATTGATTAAGGCAAAAAATAAATTAATCACATGAACAATTATGTAACTAGGAAGGCGGTGATGGAGGGATTCGGGGTTTGTCGTTTTTGTGAGCAAGTGAAGTGAGTTTCAATGGTTTTGAAAAGGAAATCACCGACCTTACTCGACTCGATATAAACTTATATATATAATATTTAATATTTTAAATATTTTTATAATATTAAAATACGTCATTTAATTGGCAAGCGATTTCTAAGGAGATAGGGTAGGTCGGTGTTCGGTCGAGGGATAACAGTAACAATTTTATGTTAAATTGGTGCGTAGGCAAGCGATTGCCAAAACTTGTCTGCAAACCTCCTCTACCAGAACAAAAATATAATACTTTTAAAGTTTTCTCTATTGGCAAAATAGTATTAAATGTATATGTGCTATTGAATAAAAAATAGTATGATACTTGTATTTTTATGAGTTTTTTTAACTCGAAAAATAAATACCATGTAATTCTTTAATTAACATTTTTCGTCGTTGATCGTCACAATAATTATATGTTAGTTCATAGCGATGACGTGGTCGTCTACAATGCTGACATAACAGTTCATCGGTTATGTTTGAATTATCAATTTAGTCAATATGTCATGTCATCCGCCAAGTTAATTTTTCACGATGGGCTGCCATCTCAGCATCGTAGATTATTATATCAACGTAACACCGTAACGATTAACGACAAAAAATATTGTTCAAAGAGAAGCATTATATTTATTTTCTAAGTTGAAAGGTCATATAAAAAATAATAAAATCTCTTATTATTAATCAATCTCTGATATTATAAGAAGTAAAAAAGTGGTTATTTAAATATTGAAATGAGTTATGTCAGCCCTGATATATGAATGGTTTTGTCTATATGGACTTCAACCTAGAATCGGTACGTGACATATACGATAAAGCTAAAATAATGGAATAGATTATTAAATGATAATGATTGTTGTTTGCCATGCCGACCTTTTATTCTGGAACATATATTATATAAACACATTTCTTATATTTTATGTATATAAATTTAATGAATCAATAATTGAGACTATGAAATGAATTTTTTATTTGAAGAAAATATACAATCTGGTCCCTTCTTTCATGAATATATAAAATGGAGTCAAATGTACATGATGCTATGCTATGAAATAAAAAAAATCATGTCCCATTTGAAAGAAATTATTAGGATTGACTAATTTTGAGTTAATATGGAAAAAGAATAAACAAAGCGGGGTGTTTTAGTTTGGGTTTAATCGACAATCTACCCCTAAACTAAAACCTAATTTTCGTTTTGATCTTTAAAGTTTTTCTATTAGAAGTGACCCTAAAAGTATATTTCCATCACCTATTTTAACCCTAGTTACTAGCGGTCTTGAAATATACGTGTAGCTTATAATTGCTCAGCTTGTAATAAGAATAAAATTCTTAAATTAAATATAAAAGATTAACACTATTTAAGAGTTGCTAATTAAAGTCGCCACATTTTAGTGACTTAATTAGTGGTACTGACATCGCGTTTAACGATGATAGTAATGAAGACCGAAATAAATAAGGTTAAATTATATATTTAGTATCTAAATTATTAGTTTTAATACTTAAATTTTTAATTTTTTTAAAGTCGTATTAAAGTTTAGTTTTATTTTCATTTTACTATATCGCTCAAAATTTAATGTTACTTTTTTAAAAATTGAAAGTTTAGATACTAAAATGAACCAAAACTAATAGTTTAGGTACTGAAAGCGTTAAGTTTTTAACGGTGAGATACTAAAATAAAATGAAAACTAAACGTTAGATATAGTTTTAAAAAAATTAGAAGTTTACGTACTAAAATAGATCAAAATTGATAGTTTATATATTAAATGCGTAGTTTACTCATAGGCGGAACATAAGGGGGCCAAGGAGAGCCTTGGCCAGCTAATTATTTTTTTAAGTATTAATTAATATTAAAACTATATATATAATTTTTAAAAAATAAATAAAGAAAAATTCATTGGGATCTCCTAATTAAAAAAACTTTATTTATGAAAAATAAAAATATTTTAGTCTCATTATAATAAATTTCTAGTTCCGCCGAGTTTACAATGAATAATAATAATATTTTTGATAAAATATACAAATGATCATTCGACAAAAAGATATTGTTTTGTTTAATATTTCAACTTTTAAAAAGTATAAAATAAGTTTCATTATATAGGTCACTATTTTATTAAATGTCTCAACTATTAAAAGTTATAAAATGATACATCATCATTAATATATTTTAAACTTGTTATTTTTTGTTAAAAATTTGACAGTCGATAGAGTTAGACATTAACATGTTGATTGAGATATGATAAAATATAATCTTAGAACAGTTTGAACTAAATTTTTTGGATCGACTTTCCGTTTATATTATAGTCAATATGTTTACGTCTAATTCATATAATTATCAATTTTTTAATAAAAATATGTTTAAAATATATGAATACTTAAAGTATCATTTCATAAACTTTAATAATCAATAAATTTAACAAAATAATATTTTTAATCGAAAATTTATTTTATAACTTTTTGTGAGGTACGACCTTTTGTTCTTTACCCCTAATATATTTCAAAGTCCACTTTTGAATTTAATTTTTTTTAAAGAGCAAAACAAAATTATGGATATGACGTGGATGGGGATTTAATCCCACGTGAAAGACAGTCATCTGCTAATTCTACAATTACCGATGGAATTGCAAGCATCAACAGATATCAAATCCTTACCAGTTAAATTGTTTTTCTGCCGGTTCAACAATTTTTTTAAGGAATGGAAGGAATTATATTCCAATAGCATCAACGATGACGATATGTTTAATATATTCAAGTTCGTTCAAGAAAAACTAAATCGGATTGAGGTTTGATAAAGCCCATTTAGCAAGCGAGTGAGTAGCTCTATTAGCATGTCTATATACATAGTGAACTTTGAAGGAAGTATTATCATCGAGAAGGGAACGAGCCTCATTGAGCAACAATTCGATAGTAGAGAGGTCCTGGGTCTTGCTCTGATTTTTTTTTACAGTCTATTAACCATAGAAATAACATCACCTTCAATGATGACATCGTACCATCATTCTCAACCGCAAAGTTGATTCCCTGTATAAAAGCACAAACTTCCGTGGACTCCGCGGAGTTAGGGGGTCAATCTGTCTAGATATTCCTCCTAGGATCATTCCATGAGAGTCTCGAGCCACGATGCCTATAGCTGCCATCTGAGAATCAGGACAGAAAGCACCATCCACATTAATTTTTACTATGCCCGGGGAGGGCAACTCCACTTGCGAGCTCTAGGGAGGGCTCTTCCCACTAAGGCTCGAGAACGGGGTTGTTTCATGTTTAAACTCGTCGAGAAAACTCCAAGCATTTGTAATAACATCTCTGTCCGGCTGGAGATCAGCATCGTGGATTCATTTATTCCTACGATTCCAAATATTCCAGAGAAGTGTGAGGAGTAAATCAAATCCATCGCGGTTCAGCTTGGAGGCTACGAAGATCAACCATTCTTTACAGGAATTCCCTTCCCATAACGATAGGATCTGGAAGTCTCGAAATGATGAGAATGAGTTTCGTTTTTGGACAGTTCTTAAGCGCATGCAACGGTGTTTCAATCAATTCATTGCATAATTTACAAGTTCCCTCCGCTAACCGAGCCTATTGAAGTTTCCCTCCAGTAGGAAGAGCTTCGTGGCATAATCTCCAGCCAAAAATTTTAATCTTTGGGGGGGTGTTGGACTTTACAATGAAACTCCAGATTTTATTAGGCACATACATCGGACTGTTACATATCAAAATCTAGTTATAGTCGGACTTAGCCGAGTA